GTGCGTCGGTGCGCGCCCGGGATCCGAACCAGCGATCCCCGGGCCGCCGCAGCGGAGCGCGCGCACTTAACCGCTTGCGCCACCGGGCAGGCCCCGCACTTCGTTTTTAATTATATATATCTTGCCTTCTTTTTTTTTCCCCATTATGCCCTACATTTTACTACCTCTTTGCTTCCTCCCCACACATTTATTGACACCAGTATGTATCTAAATGTTCACAAACCCTTCAAGATTCAGTTTAAATACAACTTCTGTCGTGAAATCTTTCTTAATTTCCTCTAGCTGAAAACTATCTCTACTGTTTCCATTTTTCCCTTTACCTCTCCTAAGTTTTATTGATTTCCAATTTTTATTATGTATGTATTCATAACAAGAAGTCTCCATTTTCAACTTTGTAAACCCAGAACAATATAGAAGTAACTCAAATGCTGAAAAATATTTGTTAAAAAGTTAATTGATGAATGCACATGGTGTTATCTGCCTTTGGCAATCTACATTTAGGGACATAAAAATAGAGCCCACAGGGTTGGTTACCGAATCCAGGATTCACATAGACTACTTTTTAAATATCTCTCAATATATTTCTGGATGACTTCAATGATTTAAGTAGCTGACATAACCTCTTTGTTCCTTATTTCTTTTTCCATTTGAAACCTAGAATAACATCATGTTTTTTACTCACCTTATCTTGATAATATCAAGAAGTTGGTACTTTTACAATAATTGAACTGATACCTATGAACTTTTTCCACTAAAGCTATTTGTGCTGTGGACTAGCTACATTTGTACCTTTTCTCTACATGTTTTTAGACATGTAGATAGTCTAAATGGCTATAGCCTTAGTATCTGATTTACTGCTAACCATTATTTTTCCCATCATACTGTTTTGGCTATGTGAATAGATAGTTTAGGGAGAGATTAATGTCAAGGTGGAAAGACCTCGTCAGAATCAACCAAACTTCATGATGAAATTATGCACTTATGTTAATCACTTAGGCATGTCTGCATTTTGTGTGAAGTTTCTTCCATTACTAGAATGACAATAATATTGAATTAACTAGTACTTTAAAGTGTGAGACAGTGCATAATTGCAAAGCAGACAGTGTAGTATGAAGACTACACTGCACACACTTTCATCAATTATGGATTGATTTGATTGAGTTCTAAATCAAGATGGCTCACTTCTTCACCTTTGTTCACTTAATGCTGTTTTCTCAGCTAACTTGCAAGGAGACAAGCTAACTCCCATAATGTACATTGGACCTCAAATGTTAAATGCACTGTTCCTTATCTCAACGTGTTTATCCTAGAAGGTACTATACTTGTTCTGAGTAAATGAAAGTGCCTTTTCATGTTTCTTTTGCTTATTTATTATGCAGATAATTATAACCTCTAAAGAGGAACATGAAGTACCAGAACACAGTTTGATCATTTTCTGGAAATTACGCTAGCACAAATGAAATTGGATTTTTCAATTATATATAAAATGGCACAAACTTTAATGACCTTCTTATCTGAGTGAGGCACTTATTAAGGATTAGCAATTTAAAAGAGCTTGAAAGTATTAGCCTCTGCAAAGAGTTTGGGAAGGATGGATAATTAAGACATAAACTCTATATCTTTTTCTTCTTGATCCTAGATTGAGGGAATAATCGTGAGTAGAAAAATTTTCACATTTCCCCCAGAGTCTCTGCTTGGGAGAGTTTGACCCTTTGGAAGTCGTAACACTTTCAACAGTGATTAGCACTTTTATAAACAGGTTTTCTTAAGAAGATCCTGTCAGCTGCTCAGCAGGATTCACAACTGTTTCCTAAATCCCACCCCTAAACAATGAGTTCTCAGGTGCCACCTTTAATGCCCTGTTTGTTAGGAATACTGCAGCCAAGTATACCTACCAGGTAGCATGATGTTCCCTCTACCGACCAGTGTTGGATCTTTGCCAAGCCATAATCCTGGCAGGTACGTAAGCCTCTTCCTTGATCTTAACCAGTTTGATTCCATATAAAAGTGCAACATAATTCTGGCACATAATGTTGATTAAATACTCTTTCTGGGATCTTCCACAGAATGAATGTGAGCCTTCTTTCTATTTACATTTACTATTACGACCAGAAGCCATGTTATTAACACAGGTTACACTGTTAAACTTTGAATGGTTAATCATTTGTGTCAGTTGAAGAGGCTGCCTGGATAAATCATAGTTCATTCCAAAGAAAAAACGTCTGGCCTGAGAAGCAGAAGGTCAGAATAGGAATTAAAGATAACTGTTGTGAAGCTGTCCAAGAATTTCCACAAGGTTCAGGGAGGAGGTACACCAGTGATATTGACAGGGCCCATTGGCCTGCCTAACATGCACGCCCATTTTTGTACCACTCCATTAATATTACCTAATAAGATGGTTAAGCATCTACAGAATCAATATGCTTCATTTTTACATATTATGAGATATCTTTTGCATTATGAGTCAGCTTGAGTTACAAACACTAAGTACATCAGCAAGGTTGTGGCTACAGAAGGTATAAATCTTACATGGTTGCAAAAGTACTTTCAGCATATATTCCACAGTACAATTTGATTCTGTGCCATTGTATACTAAGTTGGAAAAAACTAAATTTTAATTGTCTCCCTCTCTAAATTACTCTGGCAACCCATGGCAAACAAGACTATGTGAAGAGGGGGTCATGATGCAAGTGGTTTTGTGCACAAGGACTTCATGTCTTCACATCTATGTGAAACAATGACTGACACACAGTATATGCTAAATATGTGGATAGATTATTGAATGATCACATATGACATCATTATATGGACAAATTATCCATAATAATTTATCTATATATCTTACTCCCTTTATAAAGCATACATCTCATACTCAATTACATAATGTTTAGACCCTTGTTGGATTTTAAATAATTATTAGTATGTATGTGCCTTTCCCAAATTGCAACATTGTTCATCCAAAATATATAAAATGATGGTGTTTAAGGATACAAACTTATAACTAGTAGTAAATAAGCAATAGAGATCTAATGCACAGTATAATGAACATAGACAATAATATTGTGCTTATTAGGTAATGTGATAAATATCACTGCAACAGCAATTATATTACAATATATAAATATATTAAAGTAACACACAGTACACCTTAAACTTGCCCAATGTTACATGTCAAATTCATTCAGTTAAAAAAAAACCCACCAAAATAGATAAAATGAGGTTTCCCTCTCAATTTACTCTCTATATCCTAGTCAAGTAAATTATAATTATACATATTCTGTCTGGAAGCTAGGATTTGATCCACTTTCTCTATTAACATGTTGACTCCAATCTGTTTACTTATTATTCTCCCTACCATTTTTCTTTTCAAATCTTCCTTCATTAGTCAAACTCCCAATTACACTTCCATTTCTTATATTAAATATTTACCCCCAGGTAAATTGGCCCATTGCTGGGATTACATCAAGAGTAAGCAACTAGTCTCTCCCGCCACAAATAACTCAGATAATACCTCATAGTTTTCAATTTAGTCTTTTAATATCCAAGTTATACACACATACACATATAATCACTTCACTTAATAGCACTGATGATTACTGCATTCTTATTCATTACTTTTATTAACTAAATGTTAATGCTTATAATATGGCAGGGATTTTGTGAGGATACAAAGGTAGGTAATACCTAATCACCTACTCCTGGGAGTTCTCTCATAACCATGTAATTTCCTATTTACAGTCACTTGCCGATTGTGGGGAGAGCCTTTGCTCTAATCTGGCACCCATCAGGCCCCTTTATGACCACCATTATATGTGGTTGTTATGGATGTGGATTTGGGATTCAGCCTGCAGTGGCTGTTTCATCTTCTTATTAGCTTTGTGATGTGGGGAGAATTATTTTACTTCTCTATTACACAATAAATGTTACTTAAAAATAAAGATTATAGGGCCGGCCCCGTGGCTTAGCGGTTAAGTGCGCGCGCTCCGCTACTGGCCGTCCGGGTTCAGATCCCAGGCGCGCACCGACACACCACTTCTCTGGCCATGCTGGGGCCGCGTCCCACATACAGCAACTATGACATATGACTATCTACTGGTGCTTTGGGGAAAAAAAAAAAAGGAGGAGGATTGGCAATAGATGTTAGCTCAGAGCCGGTCTTCCTCAGCAAAAAGAGGAGGATTAGCATGGATGTTAGGTCAGGGCTGATCTTCCTCAAAAAAATAAAAAAATAAAAAAAAATGAAGATTATAGTAGCATCCATTTCACAGGGTTGTAGTAAGGATTTAATGAAGATATACACAAAACTCAACATAGTACTTGGCATGTTTTAAGTGCTCAATAGGGTTTCTTGCATGTGTGATTGCTTTAAAACATTTGAATCTAAATAACTTAAATAATTTATTTTTTGGACAGAGGACAATGTAAGGGCTTTTAGATAACTTGGTGAATAATTGCATCTTGATTTTGTACTTATTTGTGATTTCTTTTTGTGACTTAAGCACCATGTAAATATCACAAAAGTTAATATAATTGTTAACATTAAGACAATTTGCTTTTAATGACTGTACTCTACATATTATAAAATCTTGAATAAAATTTACAAAAAAATATGAAGGCACACTGGGCATCAGTAATTACTAGAAATCTTGGATTTTATTTTACATTGACTCATGTAAACAATTAAAAAGAAAAATTAAGATAATGGCATACATTTTTTTCTCCAAAAAGACTGAGTTTAAGAGCTATTTACTTGCAGAAACTCTATAATATAAAAATTCAAATGTCTGAAGAAAACATCTAAAATAGTGGCTTTATAAGTCACTAGTGGCTTTATAGTGGCAACTATAAGTCATTGCTTTTCTTTTTATCTTTTAGGAATACACAATAGATATAATTTTTGCCCAAACCTGGTTTGATAGTCGTTTAAAATTCAATAGTACCATGAAAGTGCTTATGCTTAACAGCAATATGGTTGGAAAAATTTGGATTCCTGACACTTTCTTCAGAAACTCGAGAAAATCTGATGCTCATTGGATAACAACTCCTAATCGTCTGCTTCGAATTTGGAATGATGGACGAGTTCTATATACTCTAAGGTAATACTGTTTTTTAAAAAATGTAGTTGCTCTAATTTATTTTCCATACTAATATTTGTTCTACTCATAAATTTCCCTTTTTGAAAGTTGGAAAGTAAGAAATACAGAGCTCCTTTCTTACACTAAAATCTAAAATGCTGGAATATTTTGAAAATATTTCTTTAAGCTCAAAATTACCAGTATGTGAAAAGGACTAAAAGCAAAGAGGAAAATCCCTTGATTTCCTCCTTTTGAAGGAGAAGAGGTTGTGGAATGAATGTTATGTTTTTTTTTTAACCTATAATGCAAATAATTGACTGAAATTTTCTCTATGAGCTCATCCTGCCATAACATTTTAAAACACTCTGATTTTCAATGATGTAGTAAAATATTCCTAAGAAAGGATTAAGTGAAGCTTGATGTATAAGATTCAAGTTTATTTCATTCATTGTCTTGAACATATCTGCTTATTAATACTCACCCTTAATGGAAAGACATTTATGATAAAGAGAAAGAAGTCACCATACTTAATCATGTACACTGTTAATCTGTGTGTGTGCACATGTGTGTGTTTGTTGAGATTGAAGTATGAATTTTTAACTGTAAACACGGAGATCATACTGAAATGTGTACAGAGGCACCTTCGTTGGCTGGAGAGAAAAATGTTAAAATTTTCATATTTATGGACGTTATAATATTACCACTTAAGACTATGAGACTTTAGAATTATTATTTTCTAGTACATCACAGTCCATTATTGTAGGCCAAAGTCATGTTTAAAAATTAGACAGAAGAGGGACCAGCCCAGTGGTGAAGTGATTATGTTTGTGCGCTCTACTTCGGCAGTCCAAGGTTTGCGGGTTTGGATCCTGGGTGCGGACCTACACACCACACGTCAAGCCACGCTGTGGCTGCAGCCCACATATAAAGTGGAGGGAGATTGGCAACAGATGTTAGCTCAGGGCCAATCTTCCTCACCAACAAAAGTTAGACAAAAGATTTTCAATGCTTGAAATTATTTCTCATTATTTAATATTTATTTTTCCATCTAAATAGATTGACAATTAATGCAGAATGTTACCTTCAGCTTCATAACTTTCCTATGGATGAACACTCCTGTCCACTGGAATTTTCAAGCTGTAAGTGATAAAATACTTGATAATTTCATAGAATTTTAGTCTCTGACCCTGTTTATTTTAAAATACAACATGAAATGAGATAAAGGATAATTTATACAATTTTCAGAAGTGTAGGTTATGTTCAATTCTCTTAGATAAAATAATTACAAATGACATATTTGTTTTTTGCTTTTAAATTAATAATTAACAATAAATACATAGTGGATGTATATATTTTGTTATATCATTCATCACCAATCTTAGCTTTATTCAAGTGCCCTTTTCCTATTTTGATTAAATAAAGTACTACTGAAAATAGGTTTATGTTCAAGTGTTTTTATACTGCCGTGAATAATGAGTTTACTCAAATTTTATTCATCTTCCTCGAGGCAAGACTTAACTTTATTACATTGGATTTTAAAATATATTTCATAGATTGGTTTGGTAGAGAGTATGTACAACATGAATAGCAAATATTGGAGAAGACTTTAATAAGTTGGAAAAGGCAAGGTAGAAATAAGTTTATTTTATTCAAAAGAATAAATGAAACACAGAGATATTATTAGAGCTAAATAAGTTAGATACAAAAACCTAGAATTTTGTTCAGAGGAAATAGTTATAATCTTTCTATATCAATATCAATTTTATTTTATGTTTGCTAACATATTTATCATCACATATACTTTTACAAAAATATTTTTCTAGGGTCCAGGCCAGTGGCATAGTGGTTAAGTTTCTGCACTCCGCTTCGGCGGCCCGGCGTTCACAGGTTCAGATCCCTGGCGTGGACCTAGGCACCTCTTATCAAGCCATGCTGTGTCAGGCATCTCACATATAAAGTAGAGGAAGATGGGCATGGACGTTAACCCAGGGCTAATCTTCCACAGCAAAAAGAAATATATATTTTTCTAGAGAACATATCATTGCACAAGTCTTGAAAACATGTCTTTATCACATTCTAAGTCTTGAACACAAGTCTTTATCACATTTTAAAATCTATTCACAGTAGATTATAAGTATTATCCTGCTTCTTCACTTACAAAATGCCCAAATACCTCTTGTTGCTCTTTGTTAACAATTTTCTTGAATTTTCTTAATGATTATTGTCTCATTAAAATGTCCTTTTTAATTCATAATCTTATATCTCACTGCTTTGATTTTCTAACATTAACTTCTCAATAAATAGAACAGCCAAATCACAACAAAGACTTGATTCATAGGAACACTCAAAAAATAGTTGATATGCAAACATTTGAAGATGTAGCAATTATTATACTCTCCTCTAGATACCATGCCAAAGTTTTTAGTGTGATATCTCTTTAGCTTTGCTTGTCATTATGGGGAATTAACAATCTATCCTGGTAAGTACAACTGGGTGTCATTGAAATAAACATATTATTCATAGCTAACTTTTTTCAGGCACTCCATATGTGTCCAGTAGAGAATTAAGCTTTCTATATCTAATATTTCACAACGAATATCTTTGGAAGGTTTCATTGTGGCTCCCATTTTAAAAGTCAATAGCATGAGATTTAGAGTGGTTGAGTGACTAGCTCACTGTTTTTATTTGTGCCCATACTCCTATATGCTATGACCATACTCTATTACCTCTATAATTACAATAAAAAAAAGGATGGGAAATATGAAAAAACAAGGTGGCTAAACCTCTAGAGAACAAAAGAGAGAAGATGGAGAAAGGAAAGAGAAAACAGATCCTCAAACAGGTGACAGCTATTTCATTGTATGGCTGATAATATTATTAAAGTCTTCTCAAAAGCATATAAGTGATCACTAGGAAGGAATTTTCAGCCACAAAAATCCACATAAAAAGTTGAAGCCAGAAAGATAAGAAGGTTTGTAATCAATTTGACCTGAGGACATTTGCCAAACAAGGTAAATTTCAGCTTTAAATTCAGCAGCCTTGTGGATCAGAAATTTAATAGAACATAATCTCTACATACAGCTGGATTACAAAAGGCTGGACACTTAAGGTAACATGAAGAAGTGCCCTCCATACACACACACATGCACACATAGCCGTTAAGGTCTAAAAGCAAAGTTACCTGTGCAATCAGCATACCAGGGTGAAATAACTCCTTGAGAGGATGTAATCACAACCCTATCCCTACATGAATTTGCAGCCCAAATTTCCTTCGTTTGATTGGTCCGAAGGGCACTTGTGGATTTCCCTGTCAAGTGGCAGAAACAAAAAACATATCCTTTTTGGAAGAATGCATCTCCACTCTAGACAGCTACAGAGAATGCAAGGGTATTTTCAATACAAATAACCAATAAAGGCTATTATCCAGAATATGTAAAGAATTCAGGCAAAAAGAAAGAGAACCCAATAAAATAATAACAATTGAACAACCAATTTTCTGAAGAAGAAACCCAAGAATCTAATAAACATAAAAAAATTGCTAGGTTTAATTTATAATTGGGAAAATGTGAAATAAAATACACTCTACAGAACAGTAAAAGTAAAGAAGATTGTCCACATCAAGTCTAAGGAGAATATGGATCCACATGTATTTTCATACTCTGGCTGGTAAGAGATGAGATTGGTGTACTCTTTTTGGAAAAAAGATTGGCACTGCCTCATAAAATGGAAGTTATATGTAACCCATGACCCAGCTATTCCATATTTAGGTATATATCCCAGAGAAACCTTTGCATATATGTCTTTTACAATAATGATGTTACTAGCAGCAGTGTTATTAATAGCCAGCAGGAAACATTACAAGTGTCTATAATAGTAAAATGGATAAATAAATTTTAATACATCTTTACAATGGAACAGATTTACTACAGCTACATACAACAGCATGGATGCCTATTATAAATATGATATTAAAAGAAAATATAAAATAATGGATCCAGTGTAGCAACAATCAAATAGATTTCAAAAAGAACCTACACTAAGCTATTTTTTTTAGAAAAGCATATCAGAAAATCTATAACAAAAAAACAAGGAAAGCATTACCACAGAAATCAGGTTAGTTGTTACCTCTGGTTGGGAGGGAAAATATTATATTGGAGTGGACATATGGGTTTTTCTGGATGCTACCAAGTTTTTATTTCTTGATTTAAGTGGAGTTACGTGAATTATTGTTATTTGATCATTGTATGATTATTCTTCAGACTATACACATAAATTTTATGTGGTATTTTTCATATTTGACATATCTTATAATACAAAAATGAGGGTAAGTTTCAAAAATTTGTCTTTGGATAATGTTGGTATTGCAAGAGGAACAGATTTGGATTTTGTTAATGTATATATTTTTTATTTTAATTTTTTATCTAGATGGATACCCTAAAAATGAAATTGAGTATAAGTGGAAAAAGCCTTCTGTAGAAGTGGCTGATCCCAAATACTGGAGATTATATCAGTTTGCATTTGTAGGGTTACGGAACTCAACTGAAATCTCTCACACAATTTCCGGTAAGAAGGAAACACAAGTCAGTGATGAATGCTAGCATCGAATGGCACTTGTATTTAAACCTACAGATTGGAATCTATACTTTTATCTATTTAAGAGCCAAAACAAAACACATTTTTTTTTTCTTCCAGGGGATTATGTTATCATGACAATTTTTTTTGACCTGAGCAGACGAATGGGATATTTCACTATTCAGACCTACATTCCATGCATTCTGACCGTCGTTCTTTCTTGGGTGTCTTTTTGGATCAATAAAGATGCAGTGCCTGCAAGAACATCACTGGGTATGACATGTGATACTATGCTCTAGAATCATAGAGCTTTTAAAAACATTTTAATATGGTAAAGTTTATAGTTTAATATAGTAGAAATATTCCTCTAACTACAGTCAGGCAAAAACTGACAGATACTTTAGTGCAATATGATGTTGAAATGAATATATGAAAAACAAGTAGGAAATAGAGTTGTAAAGAACTTGAAATTTCAGAAAATTTTTTACTTCTCCTGCTACTAGAGGTCAAGGGAAGCATAAATACACAGCAAGAATTAATACATGAAAATCACACATAGTCCCTGAATCTTAATTCTGTCAATATTTTCAATTACTTTTCATCAAGAGTTTATTTCATTTTTTAGCTGAATCACTCATAGCCAGCATTTATTGACTGGTGTGTGTTTAGAAGACTTTGAAATCCCCTGCTTTTACAATGGAGCTGATGAACAGTCAACTGTTCTAAAGGGCAGGTCGCTGAAAGGAACAAGAAGCTTCTGGGCTTCTGCAATCTATAAAATGTGTAGTTAGTCTGTGAATATTTTGAGAGTTGCCTATACAATAACACTGATTAAAAGGGTAATTTGCAATTCATACTTGGTAAAATAGACTTTCGTTTTCTTTCTTTAGCAATCCATTGCAATAATCAAAATCATAAAAGAAAATGTGTCTAATTACTCTACATTTGTTTAAAAGAAAATGATAACTTACATCCATGTATTGATATACGAAGATAACTTATTGATCAATTGATTCATTCCCAAGATCAGAGCAAGACATGAATCACACTACTGATAACTGTGTCTTAAAAAACATAAAGAAAGTTGGGGAAAAATCTATTTTCAACAGTAAAGAGGTTTTCATGTGGTTTCTATGATAGCTGGTGAATAACTCCGTTTAATAAATATAGTAAAATGCAAATCATGTAAAAGTAGCAAGATAAAGCCTGACGCACCTAGCTCTATACTTGGAAATATAGTTCCCTTGGGAGTCTAAACAGAGATGTAGACATAGCTGGGGGACAAAATGCACTCATATCTGAGTTTTGTTTCCTACAATTATTTCAAATTATTTTATGTTCAAAGGTACATAAATCATTTTAGATTTTTTTGTATGCTACTATGAGTATGACTTAAATATTTTTTTAAACATCATTCTCATATTTTTTCCCAAAGAGAATTTGAATGGATTATTTCTACCATTAGGTTTGCATGAAGCCAAAAACCATATGCCATAGTGTCATCAAAGAGAATAGCCAGTTGTGGAACTGTGTTTTTGCATGAATTAATATTTTTTAATATTAGCATATCAACTGTAATGATAAGCTATAGTCAGATCTAACTTGAAGAATATCTCATAATTATGGGTTCTATGTAGTTGGAGGATCAAGGGTTTTTTTAAAAAAATATACATATATACATACGTACATACACACATACATATATCGTTGAAGGACAATTTCCTGAGTTCTTTTATTCAACATTGCATTTTAAGAAACATTTATCAAATGCTTTATATGAAACAGGCAGTGTTCTAGGTTCTGCAGTGTTAACAGTGGACAAAAATGATAAAATCCTCATGTTCATGTTAGAACATAAAAAATTTATGTTAGTGGGGTATACAGGTAATGTACAAATCTAAAAAGCATATAGTAAAATGTCAGTGAGTAATAAAGGCTGTGAAGAGAAAGCAAAATAGATGCTTAGAGAATAGCAAGGGATGTGGGTAGATATGATGTTTGCTGTATTATCTTGTGGAGTCAGGTTGGATCTCTCTGAGGAGATGGCAGAGACCTAATAAGTGTGGGAGCTAGTCTGGTGGCTATCTGGTAGATAGTCCAGGCTGGGACCACAAGGTTCTGAGGAGGATTCTTCCTTGCCATGCCATGCTTGAGATTCAGAAAGAAGACAACTGTGGCTAGAGTTGACTAAGTACTGGTAGAAAATGAGATTGGAGAAATGACCGGTAGTTAGATCATGTCAGCTTTAGTAGGTCATTTTAAGGACTTTGGATTTTATTCCAAATGTGATGGGAGACTATTGCAGGATTTTGAACAGGGGAAGCCATGGAAGAAATATCAGTGAATCCTCTTAAAATCCCAAATATTTTCTTATAATCACATTTTAGTAAAGTGAAATTTAATACAATAATTGATAATGAAATCAAAACACACATTGGCTTTAAGATTTTTTTTTAGTTGAGATGGGACATAATTATGGAAGCCAGGAATACCTTTGGAAATCTATCTTTGTCTATGGGAATGTTGTGATTTATTAAGTTACCAAAAAAACAGCGTACAAGGAGAGGAGGAGGAAAGACTAGTGTTCACCGAAATTATTTAGCACTTACCATAAATGCAAAGCCTTTTAAATATAGTTCTGGTTTAAAAATAAGTGAAGCAAATACTGTCAAGAATAATGGGAGAAACAAACAAATCTGCAATCATCATTGAACAGTTTAATACTCTTTCTCAGTCATTGATGAAAAAATGAATACATAAAAAAATCAATTAAGATGTAGAAAATCTGAATGAAATTATCAGCTACTTGACCTGATTGATATTTATAGAACACTACACCTAACTACAGAATACACGATATTTTCAAGTGCATACAGAAGATTAACCAAGATCTCAATAAAATTCAAAAGACTAAAATTTTGCAGAGTATTTTCTAACCAAAATGGAAGTAAATTAAAAATGAATAGGGCCAGCCCCGTGGCTTAGCGGTTAAGTGCACGCGCTCCGCTACTGGCAGCCCGGGGTTCGGATCCCGGGCGTGCACCAACATACTGCTTCTCCAGCCATGCTGAGGCCGCATCCCACGTACAGCAACTAGAAGGATGTGCAACTATGACATACAACTATCTACTGGGGCTTTGGGGGGAAAAAAAAAGGAGGAAGGATTGGCAACAGATGTTAGCTCAGGGCCGGTCTTCCTCAGCAAAAACAGGAGGATTAGCATGGATGTTAGCTCAGGGCTGATCTTCCTCACAAAAAAATAAATAAATAAAAAAATGGAGAAATTGTATAAAAAAATTAATAAAAGTAATATAGATAATAATTTACTTGTGAATTAAAAAAATGATCTTTTAGGTAACCCTTGGGTCAAATAAGAATCAAAATGGAAATTAGAAAATATTTCAAACTGAATTTTAATAAAAATTTAAAATATAAGTATTTGTGAGATGTAGCTAAAGTATTACATAAAGGGGAAATTGTTATAGATTTAAAATGTTAGTATTGGAAAGGAAGAAAGACTTAAAATCAGTATTCTGAGTATCCACTTTTAAGAACAAATAAGTAAAATAAATACCTTTTGTATAAATTTATTATAAGTACCAAATAAGATATTACTGTGCCAGTTTTTTAGATGAGAGACACAGAGGAGTTAAGATACTTCCCCAATGTCACAGAGCTAATAGATCGGAACGTCAAAATTTGAAACTAAATTTGCCTCCATGACTCCCAACAGATCATACCTGTTTCATCTTTAAGTTTTTTTTCAATCCCAAGCGATGATGAAAATAAAAAGATGAACATGTGAGAGGAATTATTAGGGTATGTTTCAATGGAGACGTGAGGAAAAGAGGTGGCTATTGCCTTCATCATCCCAAAAAGACCCTTTCTATTTTTACTTTCATCTCAGATGTTGCCACTCTACAAATAATTGACCAAATTAATAGACAGTTGGCATTATATTTAGTACTGTTTGGAGAGTAAACAGTTCCATTCATAGGGCCATGTTTCATAGGACAAAGAATGAGAATTACGGCAGTTTAGAGAAGAAGAGGTACAGCATGTGCAGCTGTGAGTGACGGGGCCTAAAATCGGCAATGTCAAGAACCACAAGAAGGCCGTGGGTAAAGAGAAACAGGCACCCCCAAAGATACACGCACAGGGCTGGGGGCCAGGGGGATATCCTACTTTTATATGCTGAATTCTTCAAAATATGAAGATTTACTCTATGCTTTTAAAATATTCTCTTGATATAACTTTGCCTGTATTCCTTACTTAAACTTTGAGATTGAAAAATAGGTTTGATTCAAGTTATCATATAAGAAAACACTGTACTAGTTTGGGTTAATTTTAACCGTGTGTGGCAGAAAATCTCAAAGCACTGTAGCTTAAATTAGGTAGAGAAGTATTTGTTTTTTATTTTAAAAGTCCAGAAGTAGGTAGTCAGAGGGTGACTACAGTATGAGGGACTCGGGTTCCTTCTAGCTCTCATGCTGTGGGTGATTTTAATTCTCATGGTCATCTAACGTTCTAAGGTGGCTGCCGGTGCTCTGGCCATTGCATTCCAGTGGAAAGCCATGAGGACGAGGGAAATAAGGTCATTTCCTGTCTCTTTAATGCCATGTCTAGTTTTAATTGAGGTATAATTGACATACAACCTTATATTAGTCTCAGGTGTACCACATAATGATTCAATATTTGTATATATTGCGGAATGATCACCACAATAAATCTAGTTAACATCCATCACCACACATAGTTATAATTTTTTTGTGTGTGTGATGAGCACTTTTAAGATCTACTTTCTCAGCAACTTTCAAATATGCAATACAGTATTATTAACTGTGATAACCATGCTGTACATTACATTCATGACATTTATTTTATGACTGGAAGTTTGTCCCTTCTGACTCCTTTCCCCTATTTTTAATGCCATCTTTTGGATATTGCTTATGTCCTTGACTTAATTCTCCTTGGCGAGATCTCAGCCCGTGGCCACGTATAGCTGAGAGAAGGTACCAAAGAAAGTTGTTCTTCCAGACAGCCACATGCCAGATAAAAATTGGATGATCTATTACTGTGGAGGAAGGAAGGATGGGTACAGGGAGTCAACTACAGAACTTAGATAATTAAAACTCACACAAACACAAAGAACACATTGAAGATAATTACCTATGGTTCCTGGTATTTTTTTTTTGGTAAATTATGAATAATCCTATCCTTTTGTTTCCATTGTTAATTTCCTCTCGCAATATTGCCAAATCAGATGGAAGAATAAAAATGGTCTGTTAAATTATTTTTCAACTTCTGTTTTTTTCCCCTCCCTCCACAGGTATCACTACAGTTCTGACTATGACAACTCTGAGCACAATTGCCAGGAAGTCCCTACCTAAGGTTTCTTATGTGACTGCGATGGATCTCTTTGTTTCTGTTTGCTTCATTTTTGTTTTTGCAGCTTTGATGGAATATGGCACCTTGCATTATTTCACCAGCAACAAAAAAGGAAAGACTACTGGAAACAGAAAGCTAAAAAATAAGGCCTCGGTATGTTAAAAATCTCTATTTTTATAAACAGCAACTTACTCTTAGAGATACTATTTTAAATACTCTTGTTATATTTGTTTAAACTAGCATGGATGCTTGAGTTATGTTGACAAAAGATAAATAAAATTAAGATGAATCTGGAGTACCTAACATTGCCCACCAAGAAAAGGATATTTATATTTCTCCTTAGGAAAGACTCTTGGATCTCCCTTGTAAAGAGTGGTTTCTTATGCTGTGAATTTTCCCCAAGTGGTAGATTCTTTGGACCTAAAAAAATTATTTAAGATCTCTCTTTGATCCTATTTTTGTGTTAGGATTTGGACTTCTAACAACAGGTGGCCCACAAAATACTTTTTAGAGATAATGGTCCCTCTTTAATGTTAGTGTTGAGCTGTGTTTGCAAGTCATAGCTATAAAATTCCTTTTGATTTCTGTATATTCGTACTTTCTTTCTCCCCTTTCCCAATCATATATCTGCCTTAACTTATATCACATCAAATTGATGTATTAGAATTGTTTCTATTGCTTCTAAGATGCTTAAGTGTTGAATGATTGGCTAGAGTTTCTTGTTATAATGGCAATTACAACAATCTTAAAGTAATATCTAACACTTACTAAGTATGCCAGGCACTCCTCTAAGTACTTTACATGTGTGATTTAATTTATGCTCATATGAGTACAAATTCAGTAATTTTCACAAGGACAACCTTAAGAAGCGAAGGATCCAGGACCCAAACCCAGGTATTCTTTGGTGTCAAAGATCACGCTTTATATTTCCTGTTCTCATAAGACTCAGAAAAGTAGATACCTGTTTCTGCACTATCAACAAAAAAGGCACTTTATTGCTGATTTCAGTAAATGTTTTCAAAACAGTTCGTTCCAAAATACCCAAATAAATGAGAACTGTATAAAATAGCTACATGTGAGTGGCAAGCTTGTAAGCCTACCATAGTGTATATATAATGAGGCATAGAATTTTCCATGTTATCTCCTAACTTTGTAAGTTTTAGGATTCTTTTTCCTCCCTTCCCCCATTTTTCATTAGTTTCTTTGTAAAACTTGGCCATACTTTTAAATTATATTTTACTTTCCGTGTTATACTCCAAGGACCAAACCCTTGTGTATTTGCTTTCAGATTCCCACAATATCCCAAGAAAGCAGAGCACATTGCTGGCAGCACACATTTGAGAACTTACATTGTACAATTAGTTTGTGACTCTCTCAACTTGAGATTATTTTAGCTTATCAACATAGGATGTATTATAGCCCCTGAATGGACAAACAGTCAGAAGGCAGTGATGTCAACTTTAATATTCATTTGCTAAATTTTTAGGGAAAGAAAAACACAGGTTTTCTACTATTATCCTTTGATCAAAGCCAAGCATCTTCTCTGAATTTTCCATTTCATCATTTACTTATCCATAGCTGTGTTCAATTACTGCCTTGAAAATTTTCCTTTTGGAAGTTGTGAATGAAAATGTTTGGAATAAAAATAATTAACATTAAAATCCAGGCTATGTACAATCTCACCAGGATTCTCTAATTTCATTCTAAGAATATGTAATGTAGGTACTATTATTATATTATCTAAGGGCACTCAACCAGTAAGTGGCTACTCAAGGACTGCAGCTAATCAGTTTGACTCCAGATCATGCATTCTCAACTACCAGGTGTTGCATTGGCTCAGAAAACTGAAACATTGGAATGCAAACTTTAAAATTGCAATGTTTATTTAATCACTCATTCATCGAATATTTATTAAGAACACCCTTGTTCTAGGCACTGTTCTAGAATAGCTATTTAAGAAAAAAAATCTATATGTGAATATTTAAAATTTAGCATCACACTCCAGAAGCAAAATACTAAAGATGAAAAGTTAAGGAATAAAAATTAAATGAGAACTTTGAAGCACTAAATTGCAAATATCAAAAGTTACGTTGACATATAATCGACTACCTAGGTACGAAAAATGTTTACTTGAGAGCCATCCAATATAAAGTTCTATAGCCTTTTCTTTCTGTTCAGTTATGTGCTTTATGAGCTCTTTGATACTAAATGAAACTTTGAGTACAATGCTGGGATCAGTAATCAAATCTGACTCCCCACGTGGTTTAGTGGTCAGCCATATGGTCTTGCTAATCAGGTAAATCAGAACACACTTTTATGAAGAACAGACAGCTCTGCTTGCTGTTGTCTCAAATGTCCTGTTTGAAGGGCTTTGTGGAATCGGCGTTTTTCTTCTGTTCCAGCCAAGACAGTCAAATGCACAACCTAAACCCAGAAATCTTGCAGCATCTTGCTTTTACACCTGTTTCAATTGTTTGTGAGTTTATCTTCCTCCCTCTCTCTTTATTCGTCTTTCTCCATCCTTCCATCTCTGCACTTTCTTTTATAGGCTCAAAATTCTGAGTAGTTTTAAATCCAGCATTTTCCCTTTTCTTCTTTAAATCATTTATGGGAATAGGCTAGAATCAAAGACCTTGTCTAGAGTCACTGAAAGGTCAACATGTCTGTTAATAAGCAAAACCAAAACCCCCAGCTTAACTGAGAATCCCAGAATACTCCAATTTATTTTCTTTAGGAAGAGATGGTACTGGAGCACAATAGATTTTTAATGAACCCTCTAAGAAAAACATAAATTAGTAGAGAGGCTTTCCACCTTACTCTCCACCTGATATATTGGGCCTTTTCTCTCTCTCCTTCCTTTTTTCCTTTCTGTCTCCCTGTCCCTCTCTGGCCCTGCCTTTCTTCCTTCTGTTCTTCCTTGTATCCTTCTTCCCGTTTCGTTATTTCTTTCTTTTTCATTTTTTATTGTGAATGTCAATGAAATTTTAACTTGGTCCATATTCCCATCCAATATAGTTTATGGTGTTTTTATTTCTATCTATTAAGAATAAGATTCAGGAGTGTTTCTTCCAGTATCTGTTTTCAAGATAATCTAATAAATTAACTATGTTGGAGCATGGAGTCAAGACTTTACGAAACAGATAAAGATCACAGAAAAGCGATTGTAGTAAACCAGCCAACTAAAGAATAGTTCATGTTGAAACTTGACTATTCACCCCATAGAATGTTACAAATTTCAGAAAACCATGTTATACTACATCAGGGGCCTGATATACCCACTTAAGGATAGAACTTGTTTGCAATCTCTCAATTTAGTTAAAATGTAAAATAATGGAAATTTATTTTACCAACCATGGACAAAGCACTTTGGAGAGAAAAACGATAAAATGTAATCTCTGCTTTTAGGGATCTTTAAATCCAGTTGCAGAAAAATACATTAGAAATGTAAATGTAAGATAATGAAGTCCAATACAAATAACAGTCTAATATAAAAATCAAAAGTAAACAAAGACATGATAAGGGAATTAGCAATTAAATGACTAGTTTCAAATACTTTTTCAGAAGCAGAATATTTTCTATAATGAATATAAATCAAAAATACTTTTAAAGGAGATATTCTTATTGAAATAGAGACAGGTACCACAAAGTCCAACCTATGTGGCTTGTCCTTTGTACTGAGGAAATCTTGAGACACTACGTAGTATGGTCTGTGAAACATTGACTTAACAAGCACATAGTGTTGCGAAGAGCCTATGTCAATGTGGGCCCCAGTGGAGTGGGATGGCTCCTTTCGTGTCAAGTATAAATAATGCACTCAAAAAGCATCTAAGCTAATTCTTCTAAAGGGAATTTGACAGAGAAAATTACAAAGAAAGTGTGACGTTATCAAAATAATTCTTTGCAGAATAAGTTGCTGTTTTCAGGAGAACAAATTAGGAAGAACATTTAAGGCAGAGGGAACCATGTGAGCAGATCTGAGGCTTACAAATGAGAATAAACAGTAGACTGGTATATGTCCCAAGCTTGTTGTCCAATACACTAGCCACTAGCCATAAATGGCTAGGTTGCTTGATTTAAATTAATTAAAATTAACCAAAATTTAAAAATCAGTACCTTAGTACCATTAGTCACATTTCAAGTGCTCAATAACTACATGTGACTGGTGGCTACCATATTGGACAGTACAGGTATAGAACATGTCTATCATCACAAAAAGTTCTATTGAACAGTGCTGGTCTAGAAAATAGGAATCTTACGACAGAAAATAACCCAGGTTGAGGGTAGAAAAATGATTTATGGCCAAGATGTAGAAAGTCTTTAGTACCATGGAAAGAAATTTAGATTTTGTCCTGTCAGCACTGGTCAGCCATGTATGTTTTTAAGCAAGATGGCATATTTGTATCTATGTTTTCTGAAAGATAATTAGAAATAGCATAGAGTATACACTTGAATGGCAAAAGAAGCAGGGAGATGAATTTGGAGACTATTGCAATAGTCCAAGAAGTAATATATTACTGAGAGCCAGAACCAGCATATTAGAGTGGAAATAATGTGTGGAAGGTTTTGTTTTTTTGTTTTTTGTTTTTGCTCACAATCTCCACCCCATAACCCCTTCTCTGCACAGAAAAGATCTTATTTTCAGTCAGTTGCATACCTATTTGAATAAACATTCATATGACTTTCAGAGTACTAAAATAGTAAGCTATATCAATACACAGTTTTACAAATTATAAACCAACCTTCCTATAATAGTATTAGGCAAAGCTCTCAGGAGTGATCATTTGATATCAGCAAAAAGTGAAATATAGCAAGAAGGTGACTTAAATGATTGTAAAGAGTCAGTGGATGTGGGATGTTTTCAACAGATAGGGTAACCATTTAATATCAGTTACGACAATGGTCATATAATGCTCCTCTGGAGGTGTAGCGATGTCACCAACTATAGCTCTCCTTCTACCTTGTTTACCAAATAACACTGCTTCATATTTCTCTTCCTACTGAAACAACCACAGATTATTGCAGCTGAAAAGGACCAGATTAATCATGAGTAAAATCTCATTAAAAAAATTGTTGTAATAGTAATATATGTGCAGGATTGAAACACATGAACAAATCAAACAATGTAAAATGTACAAATGAGGAATAAAATTCTCTGCCCTGTACCCTTGGTCCCAACCCTCAGAATTAATCACATTTTCACCATTTCTGTTTTTACTTTCCTCTGATGATTAGTTCCATTATATTTCTAACATTTGGAGTACCAAATTTCAAAGTAGTTATAACTCTTTGGTATAAATGATAGAAAAATACAGCTTTCCCATTGTCTCCTTCCTGTTCTTTTCTTCAATATTTTATCTTATGATTAATAGTTACTGCATTGGTTAATTTTTAAAAAATTAAATAATATACTTAAATCTCTACTTCTTAATTCACTATTATGTTTAATTCTAATGCCAATCTGATTATTATTTCTTTGTCGGTAAACCTTTTTCTTTTCTTACCTAAAATTTTTCATCATCGTCTGTTTCACCATGCTGTAAAATTTTTCCTAAGAATCAGTACACTTTCTGTTTTTTGACCTCATTCATTTCCTTGTTACTTAATATTCCTATCTCTTATTTCTGAGAATTTTCTTAATTCTTTATTTCAATTAATTTCTGTTTTCTTCTGTAAAACAATTATTAGATGGATTTAGATCTCCTAGGTGAATAATCCATGTATTCCAGATTTTCTTTTTATCATGTTTTTCATTAAGGTATTCTTTTTCTATACATTGTGGGCAACTTCCTCAAGATTTTACTTTACAATGCTTTCGATTTTTTTTTTTAATTTACGATAACTTCTTGAATTTCTGAGAGCTCTTATTTTCTAATTGTTCTCCCTCGTTCTTTCCTTAAACGGACACATTATCTCTTTAAGTATTTCTGAATGAACTAATTGGAAAGTTTAATGTTCCCTTATGTTTCCTGAAATATTAAAATCAGTAATTCTGGCTGTTCATCTTCATTTTTTTCTTTTATATTTCTGGCTTACCTTGAAAATCCTTGACGATTCTCTTCAACAGGCCCTGCAAACTTGGCACATAAATGATGAGTTTGCAACTGTCAGATTTCACATCCGTGTGTGTATGGGGAGCATGGCATCCGATTGCTTCCAAACATACACACATACACTCTAAATAATGAGGAGGGTATTGCTAGGACATTCCAATACCAGCTTAAGCAGTCCTAATCCTCCATGGGGAGATGTAAGGTTATTTATTTACTTATTTTAGAACTTATAGCTTTCTAACCAGGAGCAAATGCCAACCTGTCAGCATCTCTACTTCTCTGCATGCACAGTAGGGACTAGTTCAGGAGACAGACATTTAACCAATGCCATGTTTTCCATCCTATCATTCTCATTCTTCCTACTTTAGAGTGACTGTCTCTGAAGCTTTGATGGGAAGAATGGCTCCCATACTCATGTTCCCATTTCCTGAGCCTCTTCTAAAGTGTGACTTCCTTTGGTCTACTTTACCTGTCAGCTTATTTCCATCTGTTCTTTGTCTTTCACAAACTCAGTACAAATTCTGGCATGCTGATTGGCAGCTCAGCGTCACCAAGATCCACCTCATGTCTGTTTTTAACGCTGATGTGGATTTTGTAATTTTTGAAATCCTGACTGATACTTAAATGGGATTTTGTGAAAGTGGAGTGGAGAGAACCAGTGCTTAGGTTGGCATTCTCATGTGCAATGTTTTAAATGGGAAATTAATAATAGTAATAATAGTATTTCATCATATCAGTAACATGCTCTTATAATGTATGCTATTCATATTAATAATATTTAATACCATTAATGATATTAGTATTTGATATAAATAGTAATTATAATATTATGTAAATACATATGTAAAATAATTTGTACATAAATGTTTTATTTACTAATTAATAATATTTATATGACAATAATATGTCTTGATGCTTAGAATATATTTTTTATATTTAACTGTATTATTATATACAAGTAATATACTATTTAATGTATAAGCAGACATATATGTATCTTTAATAATGAGAATGGGATCAATTTCTAAAAATGTTAAGTTCAGCTATATTTTTAATGACCTTTTGAAATAACCAAAAAATTGTGTATTCTCAAAGCTATGTCATTTGAAGTAAAAGAAAATCGTATTCAATTATGTGGCTTCTTTTTACCACAGTTACACTGATTTATTTTTATTTTTTCAATGCTTGCACTTTGAGAGGCAGTAGATCTTTACTTGAGAAGTTATAAGATGGGTAGTATAGTTGCTCTTCAGATAAATAAGGTTTGGAATGTGTATATTCTTCCAATTAATCTTTCAGTGGTTTCCAGGTCACAAACCTGTGTGTCAAAAATATTTTGTTTTATTGACACTGTGTCAGCTCCTTGGATATTTTTCTCTGCACATATAAAGTCTATTTCTATTCACATTCATCATTCATTGAACTGTAGTTTCTTTCAGTTTATGAACTTGTGGTGTTGTGGGGGGACAGCAGGAAACTAGAAATTTGTCGGTCTAAAGTGTCACTGCAAAAAAGCTCTCCATGATTTTGACCACCAGAGATTAGTCCATTTTGTAAATGAACCACTTGCAGTTTCTCTCCACTTGTGTGCACTTTAATGTTTAATCACCCCTTTCATGCACAATTGATATCTCCAACAAACACATCATCTTTCCATTCATGGCAGTGCTGAGTGATCTATGGAATGTGTTTTATGCCATATAACCTTGAAATTACCAACTAACAAACTTGTATTTTAATCACTTTTCTCTCTGACTAGCATTTGAACATATGCTATTTAAGTATTAAGTGACAAGGAAATGAATAGCAATTTGTCTCATTTTTGTACATAATTTTAGTGCTCCACTAAAATTTAGGAGTTTAGTCAAGTATTCTCAAATGTCAACTTCAAAAGATCTGTCATTAACATTTAATAATACACTGCCTCTGCTTTTTTCGGTACATCTAGGTAAGTGAGTCATGAATTTATTTGTGTTTAGGGCATTGCTCCTTATCTTCAGGCTGCACATTTTGTTTCTAATATGGATATTATGACTTGTATGATGCATTTATCTTTTTAAAATATCACTAAATGTGATTATTTTCTTCTTTTTGTGTCTACCGAATGTTTAATATTTAGTGGTTTTGATTCTATGTTTCCTTTTAGAAATAAAATGGGTTTGAATATAGGTCCAAATTTTAAGAAATTCTCACTTTTTATGTTTAATTTTTTAAATCTTTTCCATGCAGTATTTAGTTTGCATGGCATTGAGATTTATTTCGAAATTTAGGATGAAAAAATTGATAAACGTTTTCATTTGAAAGAATTTAAGATCAAGTTAAAACAATTTTTATAATCTCAGCATTGTATTTAATGTTTAGATAATAAAACCACTGATTATAATAAATCGTGAGATTCACATGTTAAGATAACCCCTGAAATACGCAGACGTTCTGAAGGATGAAGTTATTAAAACTGCCATCTTTATTCATATTTTACTTGCTATTTTATTTGTGTCCATTAATGAGTTTTTTTCCAGTAACATTTTTGATGAGGTCCAGATTGTTGTTGTTGTTATTGTTGCTCGTTTTAGCACATATTTTATAGCCAATGGTGATATATCCTCTTCAAGAATCAATGGTAGCAATGACAATAACATCAATAAGTATTACCTATTTGCAGCTGAATACTTGCTATGTTTCAAATATTTTACCTGGTGCTCTATGTGCATCATCTCATTTAATCGTCAAACAGATCTACTTGTTGTTATTGTAATTTTTGTACAGCAGAAGACACAGAGGCAAAAGAGCAGTGACATTGCCTGTTCAAAGTTATACAACTCTACCGGGCAGAGCTAGAATTTCAGCCCAAGCCTGTCTGACTCCAAAGTGATTGTGTTAATAGTCCATAGTCTCCTGACCTTGCTTGATTTTTTTATGTTTTCAAAAATTCTGTTTATTATTTAAGTATTATTCAGAACCTAGAATCATAAAACGTTAATTTGATATGTGCCCCAAATAATCCTGATAATAATAGTAGCTGTTATTACTGGGCAAGTTGGGACACTGGTCATTTCGCATAAGTTATGAAATTTACTCCTCACAACCATCACAAAAACTAGATGCCAATGTAATTCCAGCTCTGAGGAGGGCTACATTGGTAGAATGAGCAGAATTTTGAACACCGGTTGTTCCCAAACATGACGTTTTAACTCCTGTACATTCTCTCTCCCAAATATGATGCCTTGCACTTATCCACTACTACAAACCCAATATCTTTCTTATTCATTCACAGTTTCTCAAAGTTTTCTGCTTTATCAAAATGTCATCTTTGCTGTTTGTTCTCATTATTACTAAAATAAAGTACATAATATTACCATAGCAAATAAACAGATATTTGTAGCATTGTGAATATTTTACTGTAAATATCATAGAAATATACAGTTTATTCTCATTTTAGAATTGGATTCATGGCTAACAATGTTTTAGTAGATCAACTTTCTAAAGGTATAAAATACATTTCATTTTGAAAGTGTTTCTTTTTCTGCATAATCTTTGGAATGTAAAATAATATTATGTGTTATAAAATAAATTATGATCTTAAAACATGTTAGGATTGAATACTTGTTTGATTTTTGGAAAATAAGAGTATTTTTATTGCATATCAATCTATTAGAGTTTGCCTTGAGGGAACGAATTGATTTTTCTTTATGCTTGTCTTTTCCTCAAAACTCATTTATCCTTTTCCTCAGATGTCCACTGGACTCCATCCTGGATCCACTCTGATTCCAATGAATAGCATTTCTCTGCCACAAGGAGAAGATGATTATGGATATCAGTGTTTGGAGGGCAAAGATTGTGCCAGCTTCTTCTGTTGCTTTGAAGACTGCAGAACAGGATCCTGGAGGGAAGGAAGGATACACATACGCATTGCCAAAATTGATTCCTATTCTAGAATATTTTTTCCAACAGCTTTTGCCCTGTTCAATCTGGTGTATTGGGTTGGCTATCTTTACTTATAAATTCTACTTACCAGACAAAAATCATAAGCAGTCTGACAGAATCCAATTATCATCTACTGGACTTCAATTACATGAAGTTCACATTTAAAACGCAGAGAAACCAATGTTTAAAATGTGAATAGTATTGTAACTATTTTAAGGCTTTCATAGGTAAATAAAGTAGCAGCTTTCAGATTAACTTACTTAAATTTGTGTAAAACAGATTAGTTGCAAATTTCAGTATATAAAATAGTATTATATATTTTTAATTTAATTTTCTTCATTTTACTTATATCCTATTAAGATTTTGAATTTATAAGTTCTGTAATTCATATTTAAAAGATGGAATAATTTTAATACATATTTTATTTAAATATAATCTGTCATTATTTTCAATGGGAGCCTAATCTAATGCCTAATATTTATGTAGAAACATTTTGCCTAGAAAGTATGGTTAATTTGATTTTTTTTGCTTTTTATTTATATGCTTTGTTTAGAATAGAGCTAGTTGAAAACATAAAGCCATGATTTCCTTGGATTTATTTCTAAGATGTTTTACTCCCAAGAAGAAATTATTTTTAAATTCTTTATTAATGAAAGAGGAAAAGACCAATTTTTACCTTATGAAAAAGCCAATTTTTACCTCTATTTTAATCCAGTTAATTTCCTGACTCAATATTAAATAGAATCCAGTTACATTTACTTTTAGTCATTTATAAACTAGGATGGAAACCACCAAAAGTCATTTCTATTAAATACAAGCTGGAAAAAAAAAAGGAAGCATGTTACACTTAACCATTTTATTCTCTGTCTCATAGCATTTACGAAGAATGAAGAGGTTAACACTGAAATGTTTAGCTCTACCAACACCGAAATTAAACTCAGAGAGAACTGATTTTTCCTTGATGCTCTACAAAAATGTTACGTATGCTAAGTTAACAAAAACATTGAGGAATAGTGCTTGTATTTACTCATTGTGGTTAAAGAATTATCATCCAGCAAATTGAGTTGAAGTTTATATTGATGCTATGGTCTTAAATATGTACTGTTAACATTTTTCAGATCAGAAATATTTTGGAAACATAGTTTTAGGCCTGTGTTGTATATTGCCTTTCCCAGCTCTTAAGTTTGGACCTGGTCAGTTTTACAACTTCGTTATAAATTGTTATGATATTCTCTTTCCAAAAAATGGGAGCAGGCTCAAAAATTGTGTTAAAGGTGGAGTTTTGTTAGAGAGCAACTCTAATGAACATGAGTGTAGGAGCTCTCCTAATTCTTAGAGACAGGAGCAGAGAAAGTCTCACTATAGTTTAAAGCCTGTCAGTTAACAGTTTTCAAAACGTCTCTTTTGTTGAAAGGAGAGTTGAATTTAGGCTTTAATTATTATATTTCTGTAACTAGTTTGGCACATCAATTGTTTATAAGAATGCCATACTCATTCACCATCACCTAATTTTCTGGAAAATCACCAGAGTGATCTTGGAGATAACATTTAAAAACCTTTCCACTGCCGAGTGCAACTATCAGGATGAAGCGTTTTATGATCAGGCCTTTCTTATGGTGTGTGGAGGAAGCTGTCACCTGTGCATTTGATACTTGAGTTTTTAATGCAATAATTCCCCCTCACGTTAGCAAATACGTGAGTGAGGCTCTGGCATGATTATACTCATGTTTTTAAAATATATGTTTTTTTTAATCTAAATATATTTCATTGTGTGTTCCCCAGCTAAATCTGAATTTTTTCACTTTGTTTATAAACCTCTGAAAAAAGTAAGCATGAATTGAACGATAATGCCCAAATATCCACCGACACTGCTTTTTTTGAATGGAGAGCCAAATTAAACTTTGGCCGTGTATATATTCACTTACAAATTATTCATGTGTTCATTTTTATAACATTGAGTATTGATGGATATTCCTAAGATGAACATTTATTTAGGGACAAATGAAAAATGAAGTACCCATGAAGAATAAAATACTTCACTAAAATGTATTATGGCTATTTCCATATTTTAAGCTATAGCCTGTTCATTATCATGGGGCAATTTTAATTTTGGGATCCTACAAGTCTATCTGAGCATGACTATATTTTAAAATACTTAAAAATGCTTGATATAAATAGCTTTGATGTTCTCATTGGTGTTCCATTAACTTGGATTTAAATGTAGGCAATATTTACAAGTGGAAATAGAATTGATAAAAATATGAAAGCTGTCTTTCTATATAGATTCATTGTATATACCATCAAAACAAGCACTTATTTTCAAAGCCAGTGGTATTTTGAGCAGTTTTATTTAAAATGTAGATCAGAAAGAGAGGTGTACAAATCTTATTATTTCTAAAAATGAGAATGAAAAGATGAAAATGCAATAGACTTTTTACAAGAAATCAAGTAAAGCATATTTTCAAAGGGAATGCAGTCTAACTCCTATTCGTCTCTTCTTTCAAGTATTAAGTTTTGCCATCTTAAGGAATAATTTTTTTAAAAATCCATTTTTCTAGATAAGTTATGTCTTAGTTTATTAGATTCACTGGAACTCGTGTTTCCTGGCTGCTTTGAACATTTTTAACACTAACATAGACCAACAAGGTGGATATAGAGGATGGGAAGGATAATTGGAGCAGAAGGATTTAGAATTACTTGGAAAACTGTAAATTCATATAGACCCATCCTCTAACTATGTGACCAGGATGTAGAAGTTCTGAGAAGGGAAACTGTGACTGGCACCATTTTATTCTCTTGGATTTACAGTCACATGATAATATCTCATTTATTCTTGAATTGCATAGATAAACTTAGGCTGCTTGAAATTAATTTCTAAAATACCAAGTAGTTTCTGGAAAAGGTAGAAAGAGCTTCAATTACTTGAGCATTCAGTAGAGAAAGGACAAAATTCTTCACTAAATCTAACTAAATATAAAGTTAAATATAAACTAAATACAAAATGTAAGTAGGAATTAGACTGTTCATTTCATACATTTTAAGTTAAAGATACAGATTTCGTTAAGGATTTTTTAAAACATTAAATTTAGATTAAAGCACAATAAATGTTCGTAAATATGGAGACAATCACCAGGGCTTTTTCTTTCCTTTAGTGTGTTCCCACCTTGTGACATCAATATATAATCATAAAATTTACTATATTTTAGCTTAAGAACAGGGCCAAAGTTGAGGGCTGCATTCTTGCCATTGATTCAGCATCAAAAAGGATGATTGTTAGGGGCTAGCCCTGTGGCGTAGCTGTTAAGTGCACACACTCCGCTGCGGTGGCCCCGGGTTGGCAGGTTCGGATCCCGGTCGTGCACTGACATACAGCTTGTCAAGCCATACTGTGGTGGCATCCCATATAAAGTAGAGGAAGATGGGCACAGATGTTAGCCCAGGGCCAGTCTTCCTCAGCAAAAAGAGGAGGATTGGCAACAGATGTTAGCTCAGGGCTAATCTTCCTCACAAAAACAAACAAACAAAAAGACTGATTACTAGTACTGTCACATCAAGAGGCCCATAATTGAAAATGTGAAATTGTATTCCAAGTCAATATGTAGTGACTAAATGCATCTTGTACTTTGATTATATATAATCAGGAGATTTAAAAAGGAATGATTTGTTTGAATAAAATTGAAATTAATAACCAATAATTGAATAAACAATTAATGAATAAATTCATATATAAAGTTATCAAAGTTGTATACCCATGCCTATTTTCACTCTTGCAAAATTTCCCGTAGCAAGATACCACGTTCACAATTGTTTCATTGATCTTAGCACTGGAGTTGAAGTGACTCAGTAGACATTTAATGATTTAGCATTTGTCCCACCATAAACATTTTGAAAATAATTTCTGATCAAGCTATTTTTCTCTACATCATCAAATTTAACCCCTCGATGCCATACCATATGAAGACTGGACATACTTGGTATTATGTCTCTGCTGGTCATCCTTGTTTTTCACTGCTAGGGAGCCCTAACAGGCCACTGTAAAGTCACAGAAACCATTAACAAGTCTCTATCAGAGACATTCCAAATGGAGTTTCCAAACACTATTGACCACATTCCTCCAGTAAGTGTAAGATCAGTTCAGCCTTTTTTGTATTTGCATTTTGAAAGCGATGTAATCTAAATTCAAATTTTTATGTAGCACTTGCTATGTGTAATGTACTGTTCTGGATACAATAGCGACTATAAAGATGAACTGTCAAGAAGCATATAATATAGTCAGAGAGCAAGAGGATTAGTTACACAATTTAAGGGAGGGAGGATACTCTGGGAAGCTTTCTTGGGAGATGTGTTTAGAGATGGGAGCTTGAGGATTCAGTATATCAATAGGTGAGTTTAACAGAGATCACACTTTCCAGTTGAGTAAACAGCTTGAATAAAGAAACAGAAGCATAGACACACAAAAGAATTCCATTTTAATTGAAGGTTGAGATTCATATAGAGACAAAGCTGAGGCTAGAAAGACAAGTCAAGCTTTATGGTAAAGAGGCAAGAATATGAACTTCAGGAGGCTGGGGGAGATAAATTCATGAAGAGTTCACAAAGATACTTGAGCACAAAACAGCCATTATTAATACTGCAGAAATTGCATCTTAGTGCGTGTTTGAAGTAAGAAAAGCCAGTTAGGAGGCTACTATAATACAGGAAGTGAGAGAAGATGAAGGTTAATTCCCTGAAGACAGAAGTTCAAAGGAGATGAGAGAAAGCCCCTGAATAATAAAAACAAGTGGCAGTCGTGAAGCTGTGATTAACAAGTGACATTAACCGAGCGACATGGGGTGTGTGAGGGGAGAGGGGGTTCTGTATTGAATAGTACCTGTTTGTGTGTAAATAGACACCAAAACACCACAGGGAAATTCTGGATGTATTACAACCTTTTTGCCGTTACCTTGAATATTTTAATCAAATGCTTATTTTTCCTATTGATCTATGTTTTTCCCACACTCAGGATAAAGAAAAAAAATAATCTCCTGAAGTATAAATCATAAGGCAAATCTGTCCAGATTCTTATTATTTCTTTAAAAATCTGTTCTCATTAAAAGGGTATTCTCTTCAAATAGCTTTCTCTTCTTTCTAACTGAGAAAAAACGTAAAGCATTAGGACAGAGAGAGGAACTGTGAATAGAAATAGGCTGCTGTGGGACCAGACAAACCCAGGAAGTTGACTTCTCATTCTCAAACAATTTCTGAAAATAAATCAATAAATTGTTATGGTTGGACAATGAAACGTACCTCGGCCCATTGAGTCTGTGAATAGGAAAGATGAGCCTGTGATAACTGGAATGCAGATAAGCAGAAAGGGCTAATTAATGGACTTTTAAGACATATTTGACCTAAATGGAAATAGTTTGGATTTTGATAAGTCACTGTGATAACAGTTATTTTCATCCCTTATGTATATGTCGACACTTCGTATAATAAAGTTTTATGGCTTGTGACTGTAATGGCTTCTGTTGTCTGCTTCTGCCTTGTCATTTTGGGGAGGATTTTGTGAGCATGTGGCAAAGGCATCTCAATTTTCCAAAGTATTTTGTACTTGCATGATCCTAAGTGAAAAA